ATGATTTGAGGAGTGAGGAGCGACATAATGTTACATTTCATTCCCTAAAAGTTTTGAAGAGTTGAGGAGTAGACGCGAATTTATTTTGAAACAAAAACGACATTTACTTTTCACTCCTCAACTCTTCACTCTTCACTCGTCACTCCATCAACTCTTCATTTTTAGGAAACAATCCCCTTGCCATTAGTATGAAGCTTTCATGAAGCAGTATTCAGAACTTTCGCAAAGAGTTTCCTAAAATCTAACCAATGCTCGAGCCACCATAACTGGAAGGAAAATCCATCGTTGGTTCCAACAAGTCAAAAAACAAATATTTTGTGTTTGTCACGATATTAAGCATTATCATTCTACCATTGAGGTCCAGTGTCGATATTACGTACGCACGTGTGTCGATATTTGGTACAAAACAATTTTATCCATGTCGATAATTGGGTCAAATGGTACTTTTCAACTTATTTATTTTTTACAAATAAATTAGGTATTGCTATTTGAAACATAAACGTTCCACAGCAATAATCGATAATATACCAATACACAGTAAAATTTTCAAAACTATACCTTTGTTATGCAAATTTTTATTTCCCTATGATGTAACCAAAACCTCTTAAGGTGTCGATAATTGGGACGTTTAGCTTACGTCTCTATTTATTATGGTAAAGCCTGGAAAATCGGGTGTTGATGTGACGTCGGTTCCCAACGGGGAGCCTTCAAACACCAAACCAGCGCTCATATACCAATAGAGAAGGAAACTTAGCAAAATTCCCACTTCTCCAGTGGATGAGGATGCTCCTCCTTGCAGCAGAGCAAATCTTACTCTAAACCAGAGCTGACACTTCAATCATCCACCCCAACGACTACAAAAACCAGAGTATTAATATGAAATATGAAAGAATTTAAAAAAAGCAGTTAGGACGTGACAGAGAGACTTAGAGAGCCTTTTGCAAATAGACTGAAGGAAGATTACTTGCAAACTGCAAGACTCAAGGTCATAGCGACAAGTAAAGTCCACACACTAGATCTCCTAACAAAGGTCACCAAACCCACCAACCTAAAAGATAGTAGCAGTGGATGACAATGGTGAAGTTTAGGACTAGAAACTCCACATCAACTACACACTCTAAAGTGTGTCGTCGAAATATTGACTTGTTGTAACGGAAGTGGCACAAATCTCAACTCTTCCTGCTCTTTTTTAGGAGAGAAACTAACACAGTTAGGCGGCCCTCCGCAAATGGTTTAGAACATGTCACGATTGTCACGCTGATGCTTTTAACATTCAGTCTGCAAGGGGCAAGGCCGATGAATTGTTTGTCTTTCTGGAAACGAATTTGCATCCAGCTCGGACTTCTGCGACTGCGATAAATTTGACTTTTTATTGTCTGAAAAACTATTTGAATTCCCTCTACTTCTCTCAAGGTCCGCCCTGAATAAATATATTCGGATTCGTTTCGGACTTTATGGATAAATTTGAAATACTTCTCTCGAACATACCATCAAATTCCAGACTGATAGTTGCGGGAGACCTTGATATAGATTTTGGCGATCCCGAGAGGTAGGTATTCGACCGTTCTTCTGCTCTGCTCAACCTACTTCTCTATCTTCAAATGCATGTTAACGAATTCACGCGGACAACAGACACCACCTCCACTACGATAGACTACGTTTGCTCTAATCTCAATTCCGATCTTGATTGTATTGTTACTGACCCTGGCCTCTCAGATCACAGTGCTATTATAGCTTCATTACCCCTGAAAGTTAAGCCTATTCAGAATCGTAAAAAGCAAGGCCGAATATTTGGCAGGGAAAATTTATCTCATTTTAAGCAAACCTGTAACGTAACCTTGGCAATCCATCCTTTCTAGGGCAGATAAATCTTTTATTTACAATCATACATGTAATGTTGACTTTACTGACTTTTAAAAAGTTCGAAAATGTCACTTTTTTTACTTTTACTTTCGGCCCACGGGTCGAAAGTTTACTTTCGACCCGTGGGTCGAAAGTGAATGAAATTTTTAAAATTTATTGTATTTTTTGACTTTTACTTTCGGCCCACGGGTCGAAAGTAAACTTTCGACCCGTGGGCCGAAAGTAAATGAAATTGTTAATTATTGTATTTTTTAGTTTTAATCCAAATGAAAATTTCAAAATTCGAATGATTGTAAATAAAATAGTATACATACTATTCCCCTAAGACCCCTTCGTAAACAGGGTAACCGAAAATATTGGATGACAAAGGGCTTAAAGATTTCTGCAGCTAACTTAAGATCTTTAAATCTCATAAGAAAACACTTTGTTGATAGTCCTTTTATCTTGAACTATTATATCAAATATAGAAAAATGTATGGGAAATTTATCCGTACTGCTAAACACTTATTCTAATCTAATCGTTTAAGCAATGCTGCTAATAAATCTAGGGAAACCTGGAACATCGTGAGAGAGGTTACAGGTAAAAAAAGCCTTAGACCTCAAGAAATTGACATTGATCTTGAAGACTTAAAGAGCTTTTACTGCACTGTCGCTTATAACCTTACTGCAGCCGTCAACTCGAATGTTGATCCATTAAGTTATCTCGGAGACTTGCATGTCAACGAGTCTTTTTCATTTTTCCCACCGATGTCCATGAAGTAGGATCTGTTCTTAAATCCATTAGAAAACAGTCCCCAGCCGCTTCAGATGGTATATCCATAAAAATCTTGAGGGAACTTCCGGAACAGGCCTTTGGTGTTCTATCGGAAGTAATCAGCCTGTCTTTTTCATCGGGCATTTTTCCATCTAGTCTCAAGGAGCCATCAAATTATCGCCCAATACCATTGTTATCCAGAATATCCAAAGTTGTTGAGAAGCTTCATCTCAAAAAACGTATGATGAACTTCTTATCAAAACATGGAATTCTTAACTCCGCCCAATTTGGATTCCTGCCCAAGAATTAAGGGTACCCATGATGCCATGTTTCGCATTCCGGAACAACTCCTGAAGCACTACAACCATGGCTTTGCTACCGCGAGGGTGTTCTGTGACTTCCCAAAGGCCTTTGACTGTGTGAGTCACAGAGCTCTTCTAAGGAAGCTAGAGGTCTACGGCTTTAGGAGTGTGATCTCGAGGTGGTTCAAATCATATGTTTCACATCGCAATCAGCGTGTCACCCTGGATGGAAAATGTTCTTCTGATCAGCCAATCGTCCGCGTGGGGTGCCACAGGGATCAGTCCTGGGACCAATATTATTCCTCATCTATATCAATGATCTTCTCTACCTTGATATATCGGGAGTCTTCACTGTGTTCGCGGATGATTCAACGTTTGTGTGGTACAGGAAAAGTTCTGGTGAGCTGGTTCAGGTGGTTTTTGGGGACATCAGGGACATTAAGTGTTGGTGTGATGCAAATGGACTGCTTTTTAACTTTGGTGAAACTCGGGTGCTTGGGTTCCGATGATATTAATTGTGACGAATTCTCCATCAAATCCTCTCTAAATACTAAATTTCTTGCACTTCAACTTGACGTTGATCTTAAATTCCAATCGCATGTCACTGCACTTGGCGGGAAACTTGCTTCTGGTTGCTACTGTGTCCCTGTCCGAGGCTGTGGCCACAAATTTGGATGCAACCATAGCAAAATCAGTTTATTTTCATTGATACAATCCCACTTTTCCTATGGACTACCTTTTTGGGACTGTTGTAGCCAATACCTATTTCAATCAGTGTTTAAACTCCAGAAGCGAGCAGTGCGCTTTATTGCTGGTGCGGTGCCTCCTTGGTGGAACACTGCAAACTCTTATTTAAAAAATTTAACATCTTAACATTGCCATGTCTTTTTATACTTGAATCGGTAAGTCTCTTACATAAACACATATCTTCGTTCCCTGTACACCAAACTGCCCTTTCCACACGACAGACGCACAATATACCGCTCCCCGCTACCGATTCCGCACTCTACTCTTGTGAAGAACTCAATAATTTACAACAGCGTGAAATTCTATAATCACCTTCCTGCAACTATCAGAAACATCTCAGATATTTCACGGTTTCGAAGCCATTTGAGGAGCACTCTACTTCAACATGCTGTTTATACAGTTGATGAGTTTCTAAATGTCTCTATATATATAGGACTAAAGCCTACTTGCTTGTGTTGCATGCATGTTATATTTTGACTTAACTGTCGTTGTATTTATCCTAGTCTTAAATTTGCCTGCCATTTGTTTGTTGCTTATCTTTTTTTGTACCATTTACTAACTTATTTATTTTTTGTGCACAATGTTAATGTTGTTTACTGACTGGATTTTAACTCTAATCTTAATATTGGAATGTAAAAATGCTTTGTCAATAAGATTTTTTGTTCTTTGACAATAAAGCTTGTTTTGAATTGGAAAAAAAATTGAGTTGTTTGGGTCTTGAAGTGTCTGTGTTGTTTTGTTTCAATCGTGTTGCATATGAGTGTTCACGAAAGTTCCTAATTTGAAGACGAACCCTGAAGGCCTAATATAAGACCGAAACGTCGGCGAATTTTTAATCAAGGAATTTTATTCCTAGTCCTAAACCTCACTATTGTTATCTACTACTTCTAAACCAGGGACGCGAATATCTAAACCATGTCAGCTAAAAGATAGTCTTGAACTGCTTCTGTAGACGCAATTCCCAGGTGCATCGACAACAGACAATACTGGCCAAACGAGATAAGTCTTCAACTTCAACCACCAATTTGAACTGGCAAATTGCGAGCGAAGATAAAATCGGCAGTACTAAAGTTTCTCACCCTTCACTGACGGCATACGTCCGGCCCTACTACAATCACTACAATGGGGCCGGAAATAGTGTAGCCACTGCGATTTTTGTTTCAGATATGGATTTAGTATCAAATCTCCGCTATATAAAATGGACGGTTTTTAATGGTACATCAACTACGTCACTTTTACAAAAGTCATTAAACGAAGACCACTAGTCAATATGTTAGTTATCGTTATCATACTATTACATATCATTATCAAATCAAAACAAAATAAGATTTTTTTTATAATGAGCAGTTTATTATGGATATGAAATTGCTATTTATACAATAAGTTACAGAATGAGGTTTAACATCGAAAAAAAGCATTCACCAAAGTCAATCAGCACAAACATTTTACTAAATATAAAAATAAAGTCAAATCAATATATAAAAACTAAAATTGTAAGTTAATGAAAAATTTAAAAGTACTAACAGAGGGAAACTATCAATAATAACATTGATATGACGCAAGAAAATTAAAAATGGTTATATGTATAATCATATATCTAATTGAATATTCGCCCAACACAAAAATCCAGTAAGTATTTAATAAAAATAAACATTTGTAAACTTCCATTAATTAGAAAAAAAAAAGAATATAATTTTTGTTAAGGCCGAGTTCGTTTTACTCATCGCAAAGCCAAAGCACATTAGTGACGCCCGGAAAGAACTCGGCCAAAGTAGGTACCGGGTGAATTGTCTATATTTTGCACCCATGCCTATCTCACCCCATTTGAAGAGATACCGAGAAATGTCAGATGTAAAAGTTTTAGGTAATATCAGAAAGATTTCAATGAAGTTAGTTACAAGTATACAGGATGTCACAAAAATGTGACAAAGCAAAGTTATACTTTTTTAAATGGAACACCCCCTATATTATTAACCCATTGTTTTGGTTTTTCATGTTTAATCCTAATAGTCCGGGAGAAAATAAGAAAAAAAGTGGTGGAATAATTGCATTTTTATTGAAAAAGGTGAAGTGTGGGTGCAAAATATAGACAATCACCTGGTACATGTTTCGAAAAAATCAATTAATCCCGAATTAAAAAGCAAATAAAACAATTTTATTATATTCGAAAGTTGATTTATCTATATCCGCCGCCACGGTAGTTTCCACGGCCTCTGTGATAGTTATCCCGACCGCCACCCCTATGGTATTGCTGGTTGTGTTGGTTTTCTTGTACGTACTGTTCAGCATACGTAGTCCGGTCAGACTAAAAAAGAATGAGAGACTGAGAAAAAAGTTCAGGTGGTCCTATAATCCGGGCGTACATTTCAAAATTAAGACTCTTCTACTTATAAATCGCTGATACCTACTCATGCAAAAAGGGACCGGTTTAGACATGAGTTTTGTATAGGACTGAAAAAAACACGTGCTAAGCAGCTAGACCCCCCTTTAAAACAATTAAATATAAGAAAGAGCAGAGTGACAATAGTAACAAGGTCGATAGAAAAAGACAGTCAGGGAATTGATAGTTTTCCTAATTTTGATACAAATTCTCCCTGTTTGCTTAAGACTATTCATCTTGAAGGTAAATCCAAACCGTTTATTACAGACACCTTCAATAAGTAGTTTAAAACAAATTAGTTGTGTAGACTTGAGTAAGATTTTTTTCGATCTTTATACCACTGGCCCAAAAAAATACATGAAGTACTTATGTGGTGAAATGGAAACCATGGAAAAAATTACTTGAAACTAAAAGAACAGAGCTAATCAAAATCTTAATTGAAGATGTCAAATAACAAAATTGAAAAAAAAAATCTCACCCGAAAATTGTCATAAGTCCTCGGTCTTTTATTTTGTTGATAATCTTCAATAGACCCATCACTGTCACGTCGGGTAGAGTTATAACTATCGTTTCCATAGCCGCTGTAACTAGCCCCCCCATACCTATCATAGCTGCCACTTTCTTCTCTACCACCATAATGATTACCTTTCAACAACAAAAAATGTAAGTGTGAAATAATACATACAATACAGGTGGTACCATAATATGATATATGGTTATACATTCTTAAGACATGATAAATATTTATTTACCAAACTAGCGTGGAAATTACCCATAAACCACGCAAAGTGGATTTCTTTTTTTTTTTTATTTTACCTAACCCAATGTTTTTTCTACTTTTCTTCAATAAAGTTTCAAAGTCCTTGGATTCTAAGGATATACATGTTCTTCCACACAAACACAACATCTGTGGAAAAAAATTACCAAAGAACGAACTTACCTCCATATCGACGCTGACTATCATCAGTGATTCCAGAATTTCTGCCTTGATATCCAGACTGATGCTTCCTATATCCACCTCTGCCCCGACCCTCATATCCGCCAACGGCCTCATATTCGCCACCGCGTCCCTCATATTCACTACCGCCCCGTCCCTCATAACCACCACTGCTCCGACTCTCATGACTGCCACCACCTCTACTCTCATAACTGCCACTACCTCGACCGCCCCGCCCACCACGACCCTCATAACCACCGCCGCCCCGACCGCCGCGACTCTCACGACCACCACGAGGATTTCCACGCCCGCCGCCTCTTGAGAAATCTCCTGAAGTCTGATTGCGACCTGACCATGCAGGCATATCTGGCGGTGGCGCTTTTAGTTCGGAACACCTACCGCCTCTATCAGGGACCTGAATTTAAAATTTACTTTTTTTTCAAGTTCAAATGTACATATTGTGATTCTTACATACCTGCCCAATTATGACTTTGTTCAAAGGTGTCTTGGTGTTTTTCCTAACAGAAGTACTGCTAATTTTTTCATGTATAGCCAAATCAGTTCTAGCCGCAAATAGATCAGATATGTCTAAATTGGATTCCGGCTTCAACATTCTCCTCTGGTCAAAATAATGACTTTCAAAATCTACTTCCTTGCCCTTTATTTTGTCTGACCACTGAAATTCAAATATTTTTAAAAACATATAGTAACGTGGAAAACTCTTTTGTTTATTTCTCCACATTGTTCAGGAGGTAAAAAGTTCGATATAGCAGACGAAAAATTTAAAAAAAAATCGTTAAGGTGGTTTCCTTATCTTAGACTATCTGGATCTTGAAGGTTTCGCAATCAATTTCTCAAGTAAAATGGAATTCAATTCAAAAAATATCCAATAGTTTTTAGGTACCAGAATAGGGTGCTAACAATGTCAGTGCTTTTTTCATATACCATCCAAATTGTTTTTATAAGAACGCCTCAATTACTATTACTTACTTGAAATGATTGAATAGTAACATCAAGCCGCATAAGCATCATTTCTCTTCTTAGTGTATATTCCTTATGCAAGTCACTGTCGATGTCTTTCAAGAGTTCCCATTGCTTATCTGATAAAGATCCTTTGAAAAGTCCATCTCCTACCAAGTCAACACCACCAGCCTTTTTAATGACCAATGGAATTGTCGCTACTATTTTATCAAATAGCTGTGTTGATGTAATATTTGCAGGGGGTTTGGGGAATCGTAAAGTTTGTAAAATTTGACGCATATCAGAACTTTCCCTGGTTTCTTGCTGAAAAGTAAATTTAAATGTATTCAAACATCGAAAAAATGGTCAACGTAATTACCAATTTTAATTCAAGTTTTTTCTCAGGCACCTTTTCTTGTAAAAATCGAGCTAACATCAACTGATCCACTAAATACTTCACCAACAATAATTTGTCACTATATTTAGTAAGTCTTGCAGTCAATATTCCTCCTGTTAATGATTCATGGGGGCAATCTTAAAAACAAACAAAACGTTTTTGCTTAGTGTGCTATATTATTTAGAACTACAAAATAGTTATTTTCCTAACAAGTGCGCAAAGTGATACTTTCCCGCACGAAAAAGCAGTTAGACGAACGACGCGAAGCGGAGTTCGGATAAGCTTTGAGCAAGTGTTAGGAACAATATTGTTCCTAACACTTTGCGCAAGTGTTAGGAACAATATTTTTTCTACGAGTATCTTAGAAAAAGAGACTCTGAATTGTTAAAATATTAGAAAAATCAATCAAATAAAAATCTTCAAAAATTATTTAAAATCTATTTGAATTCCTCAGAATGTTTTTTAAATTAAATACCCAAAAATCTTTTCACATCTTCTGGAATTTCTAGAATCTGCAAGAATATTTTCATGAGAGTCTCTTGAATATCAAAAATTTTACAAATTCCTAGCAGTACAGACTGGTCCAATTTGAACACCTTTGATAGGAAACATCATGTTGACTAAACGTTAATTTCAATTAAAAGCTTTTATTTTGAATATTAGTTTATTCAGAAACCATCAAAACATTGAAAAATCAAGTATAACTATGGTAATTGTGCGTAACAAAAATGAGTGGGCAAAGAGTTTCCGTGCGCAAAGTGCAACTTTGCGCACGCAAATGAGTGTGCAAAGTGATGACTTTGCGCACGCAAGTAGAAAAAAAAAATTCGCTTTTATAAAATTTTCCAGTATCACGGGAAAATAAGAAAAATTCAGTGAATTGACTTACTTAGTTCTCGTAAAAATGATGAAATAATCATAACAAAGGCAGTGTAGTCTTCTAGAGAAGTAGCGCAGTTGACATCTTCGTCCATGTTCAGTAAAGCTCTTAGTTCAGTGGTGAGAAATTGGATCAAGTTATTATATTGCTTATCTTTAAGGCCTGCTTCGATGGCTACATGGAGATCCTCAGAGGTTGAGATTGCAGGATATCTAGAGATGAACAAGATATTTAATTTATTTTTGAAATACCCTCACTCTAAAATAAGGAATTTGAAGAGGAAGCTGGTTTATTCTTCAAAATGTTTTTAAACTTCTTAGCTTGAAATACGATTCTAGAACACCCTGTTAAAAGATTGTGGTGGAAGTGTAAGTACCTCATTAAAAATCAAGAGAAGAATAATGAAAACTTTCCTTTGGTTTTTTTGATATTTTAAATCCTGAATTCTCCACAGATTTAGAAATCAGCGTAAGGGAATATTCTAGAACAGCAGCTGAACTTCCCAGTAATGAAAGAAACCCTAGAAATTGAGATGAAACTGTGTGTAGCGTTTAAACTAAAAGACAAAAGTTTAAATCTGAAAACGGAAAATTTGCACTCAAAGTCCAAGCTACATCAGTGAATCGCTTATGGAATTTTTTTTTCTAGAAAATATCATTGAGAAACTAGTGAGCTTAGATCAATCCTTTGAATCCCAAATTGAAAAAATCCAATGGACCTTTCTTATTTCACCTGTACTGCGCGCGCCGCTTGTGGGTGATTATTACAAAAACTGTTTATTATACAATGGTTCAAATGTGTTGTGTGAGATCTTGTCAGAGTGAGGCGAAAAAGAAGTCAAACCTTTTATTTCACAAGTTCCCAAGCAATCAAATTTTAGGAAAACAATGGTTACATGCGCTCAACCTGACTGAAGACGATTTAAATTGGAACAGACTGAACAGAGGTTTAAAGGTTCGTAAAATAACGATTTCTATATCAAATACAATAATAATTGTACAATTAAAGGTTTGCTTGCACTTGCAAATTCGTACTTCACAAACTTTTCTAAACTTTTCCCCCACATATTTGTCATATTTATGTTTAAAAATAAACAAAAACAGAAACATAACCGAAATTGCACAATTTGACAATTGGAAATTGGAACCAATCAAAGTCATTCCACACAGGTATCGCGCGTCATTATATGTGTCTCTTTCTTTATTACAGAAATTTTAATAAACCACCCTTGTTGTTCATTGCATGAGAAAGGTCCATTGCAAAAATAGATGATGGATTGACAGAAAACAACATTGACTTCAAATCAAATCCAATATGCTTTATTGTCAATTTTTTTTCAAAAAATGGCTCTGTACACTGGTAGGTCAGACCCTTGTAAGTTTTTGTGCTACCCATTCTGTAAGTTGACTTTTTTGACCTACGTCCATGAACTGTAAGTGTCAGTTACAGTCCGGGTCAAAAAAGTGACTTCTTCTCCAAACGTCAGAAAAACGTCACTTTGTTAACCCCTGTCAAGATGTCAGAAATTTGATATCTATGCTGCTAGGCAAATTTAGGGGGTTAACATCTGTCGAGGTGGTAGAAATTTAATTTTTCTCCAAACGTCAAAAAACGTCACTTTGTTAACCCCTGTCAAGATGTCAGAAATTTAATTTCTATGCTGCCAGGCAAATCCAGCGGGTTAACACCTGTCGAGGTGGTAGAAGTTCAATTTCTATGCTGCTTGGCAACCCCAGCGGCAGCAAAAGTACTTTTAGTGCCGCACGTACTTTTACTGCCGCTCAACCATTCACTTGCCCCCGAGCTTACCCCATTAGTTTGGAGAAAAAATAGCGTGTTGCATACGGAGTAGAAGCACTTTTTTGTGCTTCAGCAGTATTGCAGCCTCACTACTTTCGGCTCGCAAACCTACCGCTTCAGCACAAAAAAGTAAAGCTTCTACTCCTAATACAACAATGACCTGGAATCTCTTGATGATGTCAATATGGCTGTTAAGCATTTTTATGATAAAATATATAATATTTTTGACATCTGTGTTCCAAAAAGAAAAAATTGCTCAAAGATAATATATCCTGTATACTTTACAAAACATATTATTAAAGATATAAAGAGTAAAGAGAAGTTGAGAACTAAGAGTAAGAGGACAAAAAATATAGAAACATATAACCAATTTATTCAAATAAGAAACAAGATAAAAAACGACATAAAGAAAGCACACAAAGATTATTTGATTGAAGTTCAGCAAGACATCAGCCAGGATTCAAGTCATTTTGGCGATATGTGAATAACAAAAAGAGTGTTGTTGGTATACCTAACACAATGCATCTAAATAATTTGCAATTTGTTGATGGTAAATCAATATCAAATGCGTTTGCTGCATATTTCAGTTCAGTCTATGCCAACGATCCTGAACATTCTGACGTTCATGATGTACTGGATGACTGTCAGGTTTTTGATGCTTTGTGTTTGGACCAAATCGAATATGAGGATGTTTGTGATGCTGTCAGGAGCCTTAAAGTTAACAAAGGTCCGGATAATGTGCCATCATTTATTTTTAAGGGAATGATCGGTTTTTTGGCAGAGCCACTTCGGATTTTGTTCAATCTTTCATTGAAAACAAACACTTTTCCTCAAGCATGGAAAGAGGCAAGGATTTGTCCTATATTTAAAAAATGTGATGGCACGGATGTGAAAAATTATAGGCCTATATCACTGTTGTCGTGCCCGGCCAAAATATTTGAGTCCATCTTATATAAGTTTATATACAATTTTGTGAAAAACAAGAGATCAGTCAGACAACATGGTTTCTTAAATAAGCAATCTACGGCTAGTAATTTGTGTGAGATGACTCAGTATATTGCTGAGAGCCTTGATGGAAGATGCCAGGTCGACGTAATATACACAGATTTTGCCAAGGCTTTTGACAGAATATCGCATAGCATCCTTGTACAAAAGCTGTACAATGAGTTTGGTTTTCATGATAATCTGGTGGCTTTTTTGAATCATATTTGCATAATAGACCACAGCGGGTTGTTGTCAGGGGTTACTACTCCGATTATTTTTGTGCAGCTTCAGGTATCCCGCAGGGCTCCAACCTCGGACCATTGCTCTTTCTGTTGTATATAAATAATTTGGTTGATGAAATTAGTGGTACAGAAGTATTATTGTTTGCAGATGACCTAAAACTATATTCAAGAGTTAACAACTACAATGACTGTCAGTATGTTCAGAAAAATTTGGACAAAATATGTCTATGGTCAATTAAAAATAAATTACAATTTAATATTGACAAATGTTTTGTGCTTAGTTTTAGTAGAAGAAAAACGCATTTTAACTATGAGTATACAATGAATAAGAGGGCACTGGCTAGGGTTGCAGAAATGCGGGATCTTGGAGTAATATTTGACACCCAGCTTACATTCAGAAGTCATAAATGACATAACAAGTAGGGCATCTAAAATGTATGGATTTATTGTCAGAAATTGCAAAGAGCTCAATATATTGTGTGTTAAAACTCTGTATTTTTCATATGTGAGGGGTATATTAGAATATTATTCTATAATATGGAGCCCATGTTATGAGAACCATAAATATAGTATTGAAAAAATTCAAAATAAATTTGAGATATTTACACTGCAAGGAAACAGGGCGATATGAAATGCATATACCAAAATTAGAAATCATGAAAGCTCATAATATACAAACGCTTGAAGGCAGGAGGAAAGTTTCTACAATTATATTTCTTTATAAAATATTAAATAACATGATAAATGCTCCTTATTTGTTGAACCAAATTAAATTTTATGCTCCGACATATAGAACACGAAATCCTTTGAGCTTATATACTGATAATACTTGAACTAATTACTACAACAACTCACCTGTTATTGTAATGTGTAAATTATACAACCAAATGCGCTTACAATTTGATATGTGGATTTTAAGTTCTGTAAGTAGGCTGAAATTAATACTTAATGATATATTTTTACAAATATAGATTTGAATGTTAAGTTACTCTCTCAATAACTCTTTACTTTATATTTTTCTTTCACTTAGGTTAGTCTTCTACCCTACTCTGTAACTGGATGTAAATCTGTAGCGTTTGTAATGAATAAATAAATAAATAAATAAGTAAATAAATAAATAAATAAATAAATAAATATACTATTTGGAAAGTGTTGATATGAAAGGTGAAAATTGCTTGGTTCATATCTCTGTCAAAATGATGTCACAAAAAACTCGACTTCCCAAATAAACAACCCAAAACAAATTAAGGATTCAATTTTATTGAAACAAATAGAAAATACCTAGACGTCAAAAAGTTGAAATTAGCATAAACAGATAGGTAATAATATAAACAGTTATATTTGCGAAGACGATCCCAAACCAACCCTGAACGCTAAGGTAAGATAAGAATCACACCATAAAAAGCCATTAATATTGTTTCATATCAATGGCTTTTCATGATGTGATTCTTTCCTTAGCGTTCAGGATCAGTTTGGGAACTTCTTTGCGAACAAAGCAAGTAGGTGAACCATCAAATTCATGATATTTATTATCTTGAATGTACGGTAGTACAAAAAATATCATATGCACCTCGACTTGTAGCATGTAAAAGTAACACTTACAAGCCTTGGTACATAAATAACTATTTTGTTTCAAAAATAAAGTCTGTTATTGCTTTATTGGCGCCGTAGTTTCGTTTTTCGTGGGCACTGATTTGATGCATTTTTGACTTAAGTATTTAATGCAGTGTTAAAACTATTTATTGTAGTGTAGTTTTGTGTTTCATTTAGCGTTTTAATGCATGTCGCGCTTGTGTAGCTTTTCTTGAACTTACATCTCGCGGTCTGTAACTAAATAGCCATTCGCCTGTAGTGGAGCCTTAACAAGAAGGGCAGCTGAAAAACTCGAATGTTCTAAATGCAGCAAAGCAAGTTTATTTAGGGATGAAGGGATGACAAGGCAACTTCATTAAAATTACTACAAATTCCTTGATTAATTCAAATCGTCGTCTTGCATACGAAAGGGCGTATCTAAAAAATCCTAATTTTACAGAAGAGCGGTTTGAAATTTTTGATACAATCAAAACTTCCGCCACACAATTATAATAAGGTTTTTATTGCTGTTATTGGGTTTTTTCAGTCAGAAAAAAAAACAAACAGCAACAAAATATCCACTAAAGACATAATTAAAAGGGCATATCAAAAAA